CTTAAAGGACGTAACGGATGTGTTGGATAAGGAGACGCAGCTTCTATTAGCGGAACAAGAAATGGATAGAGTCCAGCTCTGTCTTGATGGCTCTGTCAAAGCTAAAGCACGAGCTCTCTCTGATCTCGACTCTGCTCAGCGAAAAGCCGCTGATTTGAGGGCTAAACTAGAAGCCACCAAACAATCCAAGAAATGTTCCATGCTGACCAAACACACCATGAATCAACGGTTAGATAAACTCCAATCCGAAAACCAAGAAACAGAGAGCGCAAGAGAGAATTACATTTTAGTCACTACAGAGCTATTCATGGCGAAGCAGGAGCTCGCGGAGTTAAAACAACAATTCAACATCTCCGTTGAAGAAAGGCTAGCTGAGCTTCAAAGGGCAGAGGAAGCAGAGCGCGCATCCATGGTTAACTCCCAAAAGATCAAAGACATGCCACAGGAGATAGTGGAGATGCGTGATGCTGCTGAGCGATTCAAGTCCGAGGCTGCCAGAAAAAAAGAGCAAGAGGAAAAGATAAACGAGGAGAACATTGCTGCAAGAGAAACTTATGCGGCAATGAAACAAGAGGCTGAGCAGAGGCTGGAGGATCTGAAGCGAGATTGTGACCCTGAACTGAGGAAAGATATAGAGGAGCTGGCGGAGATATCTGCGGAAAACGAGAGTTTACAGGAGGAGATCAAACTTGCACGTGAACTGAAAGAGGCTAAGAGCGCGATGCAAGATGTCTGTGATGAAGAAAGCTCATACAAAAGCTTGGTGGGGTCGCTCACGGTGGAGTTGGATGGAGCGCAGAGGGAGAACAGAGATTTAAAGGGAAAGGAAAAGGAGAGACAAGAAGCCGAAGAAGGAGAATGGGTAGAAGCGAGTCGTAAGGTTGATGAAATCATGCGCGAAGCAGAGAGAACAAGAAAAGAAGCAGAAGAGATGAGGAAGCAGGTGGATGAGCTCAGGCGAGAAGCAGCAGCCACTCATACGGTAATGGGTGAAGCAGTGAAACAGCTGGAGATAGTTGGAAGAGCGGTGGAGAAAGCGAAAACCGCAGAGAAAAGAGCTGTGGAAGACATGAGAGTCCTAACTGATAAGAAGGAGAGTTTGACGGATGATGAGCCTGATAAAAAGATTAGAATATCACTGAGAGAGTACGAGGATTTGAGAGGAAAGCAAGAAGAGTCAGAGAGAATGGTGCAGTTTAAAGCGAAAACGGTAGCTGCTCAGCTAGTAGAAATCAATGAGAGCAGAATACAAGGGGAGAGAATGTTGGAGGAAAAAATGAAAGAGATGGAAGAGTTAAAGATGGCAATTGATGCTGCTTTGAGAAATGCAGAGATTGCAGAGGAAGCGCACTCCATTGTTGATGCTGAGCTTAGAAAATGGAAACCACAAGAATTGTAGCAGATATCTATTTGTTTTAGGTCATTAGGGAACTACTAGAATGTCCATACCAATATATCTTTCTACTTGTTGAGAGATTTGATGATTGAACTTGGAACATAGACTAAAAGAGAGAGTTTTAAAGGCAGGTTTGGTTGTGAAATTGGACATAGTACTAGTATATTGGTAGAGAAGCAAATGCATAAACATGGTATGATACAATACAACGGTCGTTTCTCACTCATTTTTTTTTTTTTTTATATGATACAACTTTGCAAATGCATAATACAAAGAAAGGCATAAGAGAGATTACCACTTCTTTTCTGATATAGACACTAAGAAGACACTACACTGGTTCTGTTTTTCAGGTGCTCAAGAATGTGATTCTAAATACAATGAAGTAAATCTGACCCTCTTTATATATGTAATTTCTCCATCCTAAATATAATATCTCACTCATATAAAGTAACACTGAAAATGTCCAACCTTACGCTGTGAGAGCCCATACCACCACTCCAATGCAAATATGGTAGATAGACCATCTTGCCATCGACTTAGCACTTGACGATAAGTGTTTATCTGTAACGCCAACAAGGAATCTACAATCCCCAACTGAAGGATCTAGGAAGGTGACCATGCCAAGTCCGTCAAAGTCGCAGCTCTTTTCGTTTTGCATCTGCAGCTGATAGTAACTGTTGAAAGCGTATGAGATATTATCCTTTTCCCCAAGCTGGCTGCAAGATCCCCCGTCGTTGAGCGTTGTGCAATCTGCTTCACTGCAAGCACGGGTGAAGTGGTCTGCAACTTGGGTCATGTCCCTTGATGGGTGAGCCACACACCACCTGGAAGGAAGATACTGCACATTCTTTGCGTTCTTGAGTCCTCTGTTGCCTAGTCCTAAGTTGAGACGATATTTGGCCTGTCCATCGAAAGAGAAGATTCCCCAGTGCCTTTCAAAGTTGCCAGGCAGTGTACTTTTCGCTCCTTCGTCAAGCAGACCGAAAAGATAGATATCCGCGGGAGGTGAGCCTGGCCTGAGCGGTGTTCCTTTGTTGCTCAACAAATGGTTAATGAGGCCTTGATTGAAAACACGGGCGGCTGTGAGGTTAGCGCCAACAGCTCCATCTGTAGGCCAGCCAATCTCACCAATAACTATAGGCATTTGAGCATATCCAAGCTTGGTGAGAGCAGCAACAAGAGTGTCAAAGTTTCCATCAAATGCGTTATAGTAGGTGTTGGGGCCATCCAGAACCGGATGACTAGTTCCCTCAAAAAACGCATAGTCTTGTGGGAAATCCGAGTTTCCATAGAGGCTAAGGAAAGGATAGATATTGACAAGAAAAGGAGAGGCATTGGAGTCGAGAAACGAAACCAATTGAGTCATGATCTGTGTGAGCTCAGGGCGGAACATCCCTTGAGAAGGAACATTAGACTGATACGCATCAGCGTTGCAAGGAACCACCAGTTTGACATAGCTAGCTAGATTGGATCTAAGCAAGGATTGTTGCAGGTTAAGCATAGCTGGGACGACATAGTTCTGAAACTGACCACCGTAACTCGTCAGAAAGGGCTCGTTCCCAACTGCAACGTACCTGGGTGAATCCGATACCTATATGAAACCGAGAAATGGATTGACGATAGTCCAAGGAAGAAGAAAGGAAAGGGTACCTACCTTATATCGGCTCCGCCTTTGCCGATGAAGCGAGAGATATTCTGGCGGACAAAGAGATCGGAATTGAAAGTGGAGAGCATCTCGTTAGGAATGCCGATCATGACTTGGATTCCAGAACCCATAAGAGCTCGAAGCGCATCTGGATTGGCATCGAAGAGCTTGACTCTGGTTATCTTGTTTGCCTTGAGGAGATCCACCACCGTCGATGGTCGGAGCTTGTGAAACGACACCGTTCCCCAGTTGACGCCGATTGCCGAGTGAACCTGAACATGATGCGACGCGAGGAGAAGGGAGAAGAAGACTAGGGGGGTCAAGAGAGAAAGATCACAGCTTCCCATCTCCCCAGTGTCCGAGTCCGAGAGAGAGAGAAGGTTACTTGTTTCTCTTTTGTTGAAGAAACTGCGTGCTGTCTTTTGTTCAAATAAACGTCACGCAGTGCGACAGAAAGACTGAAATAGGCGACAAATACAACCCAGGTTGATGCATCGCTGGATTCGCTGGAAATCAACCGTCCCTTGCTTGTCTCCGTCTTTAT